GCCGTTGATGCACACCATTGGCCTCCAACGTCACGAGGATGTCCGCCATTGGTTGAGGACACGTTTCAGTGGCATCATTGGTCGAGAAAAACGTTCTAACGTCACGAGGAGGGTGTTACTATGACACCATTGGTCCCTCATCGCTATACCGCCATTTCTATGTTGTTTATTCAAATTCTAAGCTGTCATTGGTCGCTGGGGGTGTTGCTATTCCCACCACTGACGCTGCTATGTTGCCATTGGTCAACGACACGTTCCGACGTCACGAGGACGTCCTCCATTGGCCAGCAGGCCATTGGGGGACGTTCCTATGCCACCATTGGTCTGCTATTCCCACCACTGACGCTGCTATGCTGTCATTGGTCGACGACACGTTCCGACGTCACGAGGAGGGCGTTACTATGCCACCATTGGCCTGATATTCCCACCACTGACGCTGCTATGCTGTCATTGGTCGACGACACGTTCCGACGTCACGAGGAGGGCGTTACTATGCCACCATTGGCCTGATATTCCCACCACTGACGCTGCTCTGCTGTCATTGGTCAACGACACGTTCCGACGTCACGAGGAGGGCGTTACTATGTCACCATTGGTTCCTCATCGCTAGACCGCCATTTCTATGATGTTTATTCAAATTCTGAGCTGTCATTGGTCGCTGGGGGTGTTGCTATTCCCACCACTGACGCTGCTATGCTGCCATTGGTCGACGACACGTTCCGACGTCACGAGAACGTCCACCATTGGTCAGCAAGACATGGGGGGACGTTCCTACGCCACCATTGGCCGAGGGGCGTGGTCTAGAGACACGAGGTACGTTCCTACGTCACCATTGGTCGAGGGGCGTGGCCTCGAGACCCTAGACACGTTCCTACGTCACGAGGGGGGCGTGGCCTTGGCCCATGAGGATACGTACGCTTGACGATCGACGTGTGACGTCACTTCCGCTCCAGAAGGAACACTATCTACCTACTGACTTGAGTGAATTTACAAATTAATGTCATTCTGTATGATGTGATGAACACATAAAATTTAATTTTAAAAACTTAATTTTTAGAAAGTCTTTGATGACTAGTAGTAATTCCAAACTACTAAATAATTTTGTAAGAATTTAAAAAACAATCTCTATTTCCTATATATGACATTTGTCACCTGTCACTTTTGAAAAATCGTTTAAAAGGACCGACATTTGATTTCACTAGTTCTATTCAGTCTACATCCTCACATCAATAGATGGTCGGGTCTTAAACCCGTACCATGACAAAAAAATTTTTCAATTTTTTAACGTGTTTGTGACGTCCAGTGTCGACCTTTTATATGTTTTTTATATGTTTTAAAAATTCCAACTCCTACAAAAATCATAATTGTGAAACTTAAGGAAATGAGATCTCTCCTTTGTAGTGGTATTTAAAAATTGACGTAAGTTAAAAATTACAATCTTTACCAATTAGTACTTATTAGAACATTTTATTGTAGCATAGCTCTGATGATGGCTTTGTAAAGCCGAAAGCGCTCAGCTAGGAATTGCCTAAAATATACACACTTCAAAAATACTTTTTTGCATTTTCTTTCGACTTGTCATAAGTGTGTACAAAAAATATCAGTCTTTTGATCATGAAAAATGACAAAAATCGCGTAACGTTTATTTATTTAACACCTTTATAAAAACTTACGTTTTTTTGCGGAAAAATACGAAAATTGCATACAAAAGCTAAATTCTTCACCTTTCAGGTCACTCTGATTAAAATATATCTAATTTTTACCGTCGAGTCAATACTTTTGTCATCCGTGGCTTCCATTGTCTCTCCATTGTTCAATAACTCATCGCCTTCCACCGGTAGAGTTCTTTAAAAATTATGATGTATTGATGGGATATACTTCAGTAAAAACAACAAACTATTATTAGTGATCGGTTGACCTCGAGACTAGAGAAGTTTCAGTTACAGAAGAAAATATCGTGATGGGCGACGTCGATTTCCTTTCTGTGCTGTCAACAATATCAAAATCTTCTAAAAAAATTTATTCTTAACAACAAGGCTTGTATAGGTCCGCAAAGCATGGGACAGAAAAAGAGCTGTTTTAATGTTACGATTTTGTCTACCCCAACTATCGCTGAAGAACGTGAGAGCTTTGGATATTGGTGGAAGAACATGTTTGATGTAATTAAGAAGACATGATAAAACCTCCTGAGCTCCTGGAGACGCAACATTTTCAGACCAAACGTACATGTGCCCAATGTTAGTTACCTTATTATGTATGCCCAAATTATATGTCCACAACTGTTTCTTGTAATACACTTCTCGAAAAGATAAAACAGGAGTTAGAAGGGTTTTTTGCAGATCAAAAACAGTTACACATATACACATTACACATATAACTTGGTCGGTACCATTTGCATCCCTCAGTCTATAGACTCTAGTTTTTTTCTGACGAGATTTTTCTGCTTTAGTGTACTTCCTACTGATTTAACTTCAATTTGCCCACAAAAAAAGCATTTTTTTCTGTCCAAGTCAACTTATAGTAATCTTTAAAAATTTGTTTCCTCATTTCAAGTCCGATTACACTTAAACTTTTCAGCTTACATCCGCATGACTTCACAAAGCAAGTCCTTTCAGAAACTATTTTACCTATTGTTGATATATACTCTTTAGCTTGTTGTCTTTTAGTTTTCTTGATTACTTTCTTATACTCCTCTGGCCTTTGTTTTCGTTTTCTTCTAGGTGTATCTTCTTGTGGGTGTATCTTCTATGTTCTTGTTATTTTCTACAAGTAGATTATCATCCTCTGCACTTTCGTCGAATGTAATAATTTAATTTATTACAAAGAGAACTACACTTTTTTAAATTTTAAGATGTTGCATTAATAATTATATAACTTCTATGATTACCTTTATTAATTACAATACTGGAAAATTTTCTAATTTTTCAAAAGCTTTAAGAATTGTAAGAAGCAAAGTTGCCTAAGCCACAAAAATATTTAACCCCATAACACACTTTATATTGAACAATTTTTTGCCGATCAATCTAAAAATATGACGAGCACATACCTGATGAATCCCAATCTTCATTTGTGGGTTCATAATCCCGGTCAGTTTCACCGTCCTTCGAGAAAATGTCGAGCTCGTCTTCACTACCTGACAGCTGGGCCACCATTTTTGTGTGGCTTGGGCAAGTACGGTTCATATCACTACTTAGTTGTAAGCAGTGGAAACTTTTATCATGAGTTGTCGGCAAGTTTGGCACACATAGAATTAGTAATTTTCTCTCAATTTATGCTGCAACTACCAAATACAAAGTTGTGTTGCTTAGGCAAATCTGGCATTGAACCACTTGAATACAGCTTCAACAATATGGCCAATACTATTAAAGTCTGAAAGTTCTTATTAGAAGACCCTTTACATTACTTCTTCTTCTTCTTCTTCTTCAAGTGCCATCTTCGTTCCGAAGGTTGGCGATCATCAGGGGTATACGTATTTTCGAAACTGCTGACCGAAACAATTCGTTGTTGCTACAGCTATACCAGAAGTAGATTCTTTAGCCAGAAGTTTCGTCTTCTTCCTATGGACCTTTTTCCTGCTATTTTCCCTTGCATAATTATTCGAAGTAGTTCATATCTTTCGCCTCTTGTAATGTGTCCCAAATATTGCAGTTTTCGTTTTTTGATCGCAAATATGACTTCCTTTTCTTTATTCATTCTTCTCAAGACCTCGACATTTGTGACTCTCTCGGTCCATGATATTCTCAGGATTCTGCGATACATCCATAGTTCAAATGCCTCTAATTTTTTGGTATCAATCTTTTTCAACGTCCATGACTCCATTCCGTAGAACAGCACAGAAAGTACGTAACACCTCACCATGCGAAGTTTCATTTCAAGGCTCAAATCTCTTCCGCAAAACACTCTCTTCATTTTAGTGAATATGGATCTGGCTTTTTCTATTCTTATTTTGATTTCTGCTGAGCTATCGTTGTATTCATTTATAAAAGTGCCTAAATATTTGTATTTGCTAACTCGATCGATAAGTTCATTGTGTAAATATAAATTTTGGACATTTTGTGTTGATTTCGATATTAGCATAAATTTAGTTTTCTTTATGTTCAAAGATAGTCCATATTCTTCGCTGCAGTCTGCTATCTTATTCACCAATGTCTGTAGCTCTTCAAGTGTTTCTGCGATCAGAACGGTGTCGTCGGCAAATCTCAGATTGTTTAATCTAACACCATTTATTTTAATACCTTCGGTTTGCTCAGAAAGTGTTCTATTCATTACGTCTTCGGAATAGAGATTAAACAGGGTTAATGACAGTATACACCCTTGTCTCACACCTCGCTTTATTTCAATTTCTTCAGTGGTATTATTCTCTACTCTTACTACTGCTTTCTGATTGTAGTACATATTTGCTATTAGTCGGATGTCTCGTTTATCTAAATTATTTTCTGTCAGGAGTCTGGTTAGGTGATGCCGCACTTTATCAAAGGCCTTGTTGTAATCTATGAAACACATGAGTACATCTTGATTTATGTCAAGACATCTTTGAGACATGACGTTTAGTGCAAACAACGCCTCTCTTGTTCCGAGTCCATTTCGGAATCCAAACTGGGTATTATTGATGTCCATTTCCAGTTTTCTGTGTACTCTAGAGTGTATAATTTTCAGGAATATTTTCAGTACATGGCTCATCAGACTGATTGTACGGTAATCATTACATTGTTTGGCATTTATCTTTTTTGGTATAATAACAAAGGTGGATAAAAGCCATTCTTGTGGTATTTTTCCTGATGTATAAATGCTATTGAAAAGTTTAACTAAAATGTGAATCGAGTCTTTTTCTATTAGTTTAAGGATTTCCGTTGGTATTTCATCTGGACCTGGGGCTTTACCATTTTTTTACATTACACGGATCCGTATTTCAAAATCGGGAATATTGCAAATCAATAGAATATTTTTTCTTAATCGTTACAATTATGCTCTTCTGTAAAATATTTATTTGTTCATTTTAGCAAAATTAATAACATTGATGGAAAAAGTCAATGGACGACTTTATCCAACGATGAACCGTCAACCAGAAATGAAATTTTACACAATATTGATGATATTTACGGTAATGCTGCTTTAACAGTTGGTCCTTGGAAATTGTTAAAAGGTAATTATACATTTTTTATTTTTACAAATAATATTTATCAAAAAAATCGAATAATTTTTTAAATCTAGAATGTGTAGAAAATACTAAACAGTAGGTATCCAAAATATTAACATAGTATTATGTGTCTTCTTCTTCTTCTTTTTATATAGACACGACTGTCTATTGTTCAATATGCCCCTAGTAAGTTATCGTTCTCTGTTATTTCTAACATCCTTTTTGTCCTCTCTACATCAGATCTTGTTTCTGCCGTGTATGTCATTATTGGCTGATGGTTGTTTTGTAAATTCTGCCTTTCGCTTCATTCTCGATATTTTTATTTCTCCATATTGTTTCATTAAGGCAGCCTGCAAATCTGTTTGCTCTATTCACTTGATCTTCCACTTTGGTTTCGAGCTTTCCATAGCTAGATAATGTGATGCCTAGATATTTAAACTCCATCACTTGTTCTATTATCTGACCTTCCAGCTCCAATTTACATATTAGTAAATTTGCTATTGTAACCATACATTTTGTCTTTTTTGGGGAAATTAACATGTTAAATTTTCTGGCGGTTATATTAGTTTGGTGCAGCATACGTTGTAAATCATCTTCACTTTGTGAGAGTAGCATTGCGTCGTCTGCATAGCAGATTATTTTAAGTTGTTTTTCTCGCATTTGGTATCCTTTTTTAGTTGTTACTTTTTTTATTATTTCATCCATAATCAGGTTGAAAAATAGAGGGCTCAATGAATCTCCCTGTCTTACCCCATTGCCAGCTTCAATAGTTAGTTCTTTTCTACTTTTACTTTTATTATAGTGAGCATTAAGTAAAGCAAAGTGTTGTGCGAGTATGCATGCTAAATTTAATGCTAGTTATTAGAAATAATAGGAAAGATACTAGTGAGTAGACACCTAATTTTAAGTTTTCATTAGTAATTTAAGTTAGAAACAAATTGATAATTGGTCTTACTGGCCAGATTTTAATGTAAGTACACTTCGGTGTCTTTATAGTAAAAAAAAATTTTTTTTACCGCATCAACCCCTAGGGTTATTAGCGGGGTGGTATATCTTTATTTTAGAAAAGTTACATTAGTATGTTATTAAAATTTGTAAACAGTTTTGAAAAATACAAAAATAAATACAAAATTATGTTATGTTACAGTTTGTTATACAGTTGACAATTTTTGATAAATTTTATTGTGTCACTGATATCTTCTGTCGTATAGGTGGTCCAATGTATTCCACTGTAAGAATGGAGCTAAAGTTAAATCACTGATAGATAAGTCTATGGAGGAAAATGTGCCATTATGTGCATTGAATCTAGTAGGTGTACTTGTGTTTAGCAAAACTAGTTTTATGTTATTAATTGCTTCTAATAATATTCGTCCATTTTTATCTGTTTTTTTTTTCGATCCCCATGCGATGTTGTGACAGTTTGTGTCACCCAAAATTAATTTTGGAGATGGAATTTGTTTAATAATGCATTTATTTTACCGAAAATCGATAAGATGATACCATCACATCCCATCCCTTAGGCGGCCTGATCAGAGCTACCTAGCGTTCTACTCTGTGGCCTTTATTTTCTTCACCAAGATACAATAATATTACCCTATGATCCCGACTTATAGTATTTGGAAGATCCGCCGTTATAAATTTGGAATTATAGAATTCTTCAGCCTTAAAAACTGTCCATACTTTTTTTAAGAAGGTCATTTGTGATAAAGGCTTTTCGTCAGCACACGTCGAGCTAAAGTACCCGTACACGAGTAGACTTCCATAATATTGAAGAGCACGTCGATGTTTTATTATGGCACCTTTGATGGAGCCAATTTTATTATCGGAAACCATTTTATCCGAGTAGTTCTTGGAGACTACAGATGTCTTAATACTATATAGCAGTGTTATTTATAACTTTCACCACCACAATATTTAGATAAGAAGCTCTGCTTTTTCTTGTTATTGCCTTGTATTGCCACAAATAGTAACAACGCGCTATAAGAAGTAGGGGAGAAGGGGGTTACTGTGGACCATTTTTACTTATTAGCAAATTAAAAAATATTTTATTTGTATCTTTCTTAATAGAACAAATATTTTGATTCAAATCGGAATCAATAATTTGTCCACAATGACCCCGTGGTGGGGTTAAAGTGGACAGAGTATGGGGTTATAGTGGACGCATAGTAAAACATATACAGGAATACTGAAAACTTTATGTTAACAAAAAGAAACTACGATACATTATAAGAACTGAAATTAATATTAAATGAAAATAATCTTCCTTGCCTTTTCGTGCCAGTGTCTACTGGGTGCTCCAAAATTCCGACAATATCGTTCTTGTCGACAACTGAGACATCTTCAACTTCGGGAAATACGAAATTATTCACTTTTTTCTTTAAAAAATTAATTTGTACCTCCACATCTCGAATATCTACGATTTGGCCAACATAGTGTGTTACCGATTTTTTACCCATAAATTTTACAAGTACGAAATCATTTTTCTCCATTTTTTTGTCCATAAAAATATCGTTGTCCTGACCATCATCTTCCATCCAGCCTTCATCCTCTGATTCAAGTATTACTTCTGTAGAAGAATTGGAAGAGGAAGATTCTTTCCTACTCCTTTTTGGTTCATAGGAAAGAGATTTCTTCACTCTATTCTTTTCTCGCATTTCAGCTCTTTCTTGCGCACGTCTTTCCTTCAAATCTTTAGCCTCTTTTTCAGCTTCCAACTGATCTTTCACTGGTGTGCTCGTGTAAATAGTCGACTTTTTATTTTTTCTTGCTTTGGAGTTTGATGAGCGATCTGCTTTTAGAAAAGGGCGGCAGCTCTCAGGAGTAATTACAGCTGTTGATGTAGTTGCTACTGATGGTGAAAGCGTAATGGGAGCTACAGGTGGCAGTCTTGTGGAGATTGAAGCAACTTCTAATATTCGCTCAGGATCTTCAGGATTTCTTGGGTTCATTGCTGTTGGTGGTTCTTGATTCCTATCTGTTGTTTCGGCAGCTTCATAATCCTCATCGGTGAATACAAGACGATTTATTGGCCATAAACCAGCAGATCTGAATCCAGATGTTATATTCTTCATTGTAAATGCCACAGGAAAAGCAATACCACACAGTTGAGCAACATCATATATTTGTATAGGTCTGCCTGGATGATTTTGAAGCCAGTCTCCCATTGCAACCCGTAATGCAGCTTTATAAGGACCATATACTGCAACATCTAGCGGCTGTAGTTTGTGGCTACAATGTGGCGGAAACGATAAAAGAGTAATTCCAGATTCTCTAGCTAAGTTTATAGCTTCCAAACTTATATGACTTGAATGATTATCCATTAATATCAGTAGACGGTTTTCGTTAGAAGCACTTAAGTGCATTTTTATGTGCTTTAGTACTTCTAAAAATAATTCAGCAGTCATATAGCCAGACTGATGAGCCAGACCAATGCTCCCTATTGGTGCACCATCTAAGAACCGGTCTTTCATATTCTTCCTGGGGAATATGAAAACTGGAGGTATTGCTTGTCCAGTGGCTGTTATAATTCCGCACATTGTAACATTTTCACCGCGTTCTTGAGAGGCCACAGCTCTTATTTGTTTTTTTTTTCCCTTTTCAGCTATACGTTTGGGTGGTGGTAAGACCGTGGGTATACCTGTCTCATCTAAATTTATTATCCTTTCTGGCCTTCCTTTAAATTTATCTAAAACTCCAATGTAATTATCAAAAAATAAATCCACGTTGGATTTGTTAAAGGCTGCATCTCGTGCTATGCTTGTATTTTCAGGTTTTTTAAGAGATAAATCACCATGTCGTTTCATAAATCAATATATCCAGTCCTTTCCTGCTATCTTATTTTTAGTCCAATTCGAAGGAATTTCTATTTGTAGAGCACTACCATACTCAAAAGCTAGGGTACAAGCCTGCTTGTAAGTCAAGCCATAATGCAATCGAGACGCCTTCTTAAGATAATTGACAATGTGTTGTTCTTGTTCATCAGAAAATATTTGGCGACCTCAAAATTTATTGACGCCAGAAACATTCAAGCTAACAATTTCTAACTCATCTTCGTCACCTGAATCATCACCAGGTATATTAGCATCTTGAAGGTTCCTCTTAGCCGAAATGACTCTTTTGTGAAGCATACTTTTTTTCAATTCATATTTTTCTGCAATATTTCTCAAGCTTCCTTTTTTTCTTAGGATATCCTTTATTGCACGCTCTACAACTTTTTCATCAATATCAGCTCTCGCCGTTTTTCTACTGTAAGTCCTCATCTGAAACAAAAAAGCGATTTTTATCACATGATTTTTGAAAATATAATCATTTGTGGGGTTAGTGTGGACAGCTGATGATTTGTCCACACTAACCCCGAACGCCATGTTTGACAGTAACGATGGAATGACGTTTCGAAAAATGATAATTTTATCTCATTCCATATCAAATGTAGTAATTAAATATTCCAGAAGACATACACTAACTTAGGTATACAATTAGTTCAATAACTTCAATTTTAGTATAATTTTACTTACCGTGTGAAATAAATGGATACAACACACAAAATCACTTTCTGTCACTGGCGGCCATATTATAGAAAATATTTCAACCAACTTTTACGTGGTGTTCGGTGGCGTTAATAGTCACTTCCTGAACAGACTGGGCGGCAGATTTAAATGCGAGTTTTTAAATAATTAACTATGTCCACACTAACCCCATGTCCACACTAACCCCCCTCTCCCCTACTTACTTTTGTCGGTACTTCTCAAGTGCCACGCTCTTTTTATTTATTTATAAATTGTAATCAATTGTAAAGATAATCAAGTATATAGTCACTAACTCGTTTTCGATTTTTATTTGTTAAGGAACAACTTATAATGGCACATGGGATTCGTGGTATGGTCCATCGGGAAGAGATTATGAGTACAACGAAACTAAAGTAATTAACTCGTTAGCAGGACAGGCACTAAAACAAATTAAGAAAGCAGCCAATGTCACCCAAATCAAAATTTTAAGAAAAGAAGCTACCGTTGACTGTACTGTAACGAAGCATAAAAAATGTAATCTACTTGAAGAAGTATGCTTATACAATATTGAAAATGATCCTTGTGAACTGGACAATGTTGCAACCAAGTAAGTCTGTAGTAAAGAAAAAGTTTATATTACTATAATTATTAGTTTACTAATTTGTTTACCATAACAGTATACTATATAATATTTTACATCTATCCTAAACCATTTGTATCAAGTTAGTTCGGTCACAGAATAATAAACAATCAGAATGCCCACTCTCCATGGTAAATTAACTACGCGCTTATCCTTCGTGCAGACGTTCCGCCATGTTTTAGAGGGAACCAGTGTTGTTTATGTGGTGTGTATAGAAAAATTAACCCGGTTTAATTGACTTACGGCAATCATAGACATACTATACGCTGGAGATCGTCCATTCAAACAGTCAGATCATATCCAGGGGCGATATGCGGATCCCATCATACTCTCCTCGTAGCTAAAGTAATGCTTAAACTTAAAGCACCCAACAAACAAAGAGAGATAAAGAGGATAGAACTAAGAAAGAAAGACGACCTTCTACAGAAAGTACAGAAAAGTATGCCCTCTATTCGTAACGGAACATCACAAGAAATATGGGAGACTGTTAAACATTGCGTAACAACACCAGTGGATCGCTCAAAGAAAAATAATCCGGTGAAACGGAAACACTGGATAACAGATGAAACTCTTAAAATAATTGAGAATAGAAGAAATCTTTGTAAAAGTGGTGTACATAGTGAAAGGGAAAAAGCTAGTTTAAGAAACCTCAATAAAGAAATAAAACGAAGATTTAAGGCCGACAAAAAACAGTACTATCAAAGTATATGCAAAGAAATTGAGAGACATGGTCAGCATAATCAGCCGAGAGATCTATTTAGAAAAATACGCTACCTGACAAGAGACTTCAGAGCCAGAACTTGGGCCATTGAAGATAACACTGGAACCCTGAGAACAAACAGAGAAGACATAGCAGAGACATGGAGATCGTATTGCAGGGACCTATATAAAGATGATCAACGCCAAGAGCTTGTTAGTCAAATCTCTGACGAGGTGGAAGAAGAACCTGATATACTCAAAAATGAAGTAAGACAGGCTATCAACAAGCTCAAATATAACAAAGCACCAGGTCCAGATATGATAACAGCAGAAATGCTTAAAGCCACAGAAGAAACCGGCGTAAAGTTACTTCATCTACTCTGTAACCAAATATGGCATTCCAAACAATGGCCTGAAGACTGGACAAAATCTACAATAACGACCATACATAAAAAAGGCAGCTTCCATAAATGCGACAATTATAGAACTATCTCTCTTATATCCCATGCCAGCAAGATAATGCTACATATAATCAATGAGAGACTGAAAACATTCCTTCAAAGAGAAATTCCACAAGAGCAAACTGGATTTACCAAAGGTAGAGGCACTCGAGAACACCTGCTGAATATAAGACAAATAATCGAGAAATCTAGGGAATTCAACATCCCACTATACATCTGTTTTATAGATTACCGTAAAGCGTTCGACAGGGTCAAGTGGAGACACTTATGGCGAATACTAAAAGAAGTAGGCGTACCACAACATCTAATTACGCTTATAACTGAACTATATGAACACACTACTGGATCAGTTAAAGTACTTGACACACTTTCGAACGAGTTTCATCTACAAGGATGTATACTATCTCCACAATTATTCAACATATATGGGGAGTATATTATGCGAAGAGCACTTGAAGGATGGGAAAAGGGCATCTCAATAAATGGTCATAAACTAAACAACCTACGTTTCGCAGATGACACCCCTTCTTGCAAATAGTCAAGCAGAGCTGATGGAACTTATACGACTGATCGAAAACGAAAGTCAAATATTTGGTCTGCAATTAAACATATCAAAGACAAAGATCATGATAGTGGATAGACTACACAACAATCATCCACACATAACCACAATTGACCGGTTCGAGGTTGTGAGCTCATACTTATATATGGGATCATTAATCACAAACACAGGGTCATTACAAGAAGAGATTAAACGTAGATGTGATCTAGCAAATGCCACAGCAAAAATGACCAAAATATGGAAGGACTGTCAAATTTCAAAAGCGATAAAGATGAGGTTGATCAACTGCTTAATATTCCCAATACTGACCTACGGATGTGAATCTTGGACTCTGAGACAATCGGAGAGAAGAAAGATAGACGCCACTGAAATGTTCTGTTGGAGACTAATGTTACGAATTGCTTGGACCGACCACAGAACAAATAATTCAATTTTAAGAGAGCTAAAAGTTAGCCAACGACTCTCTAGTAAAGTATATCTACAACAATTAAAATACTTTGGGCATGTTATGAGAGCAAACACAAAAAACATGGAAAGACTCATAATACAAGGAAAGGTAGAAGTCCGAAGATCACGAGGAAGATCCCCAACAAGATGGATAGATCAAATTACAGGAATATGCCAAAGACCTATGCTTGAATTAAAAGAAATGACCAGAGACAGATATCTCTGGAGACGGACAATACACGACATCACGTCGACCACTACACTCCGCCTAGGGGGTCAGGATTGAAGAGAGAGAACCTCACAAATCATATGTCTGTGTTATGTGTTTCCTTCTAAAACATGGTGCGCGTGCTGAAAAACTTCAAAGGCGGCATCTGAGAGTGGGCATTCTGATTGTTTATTATTCTGTGGTTCGGTCTAAAGCCTTTTGAATAATAAGAATAGTTTTTCTCACATGAGTTAATTCAACTCAAAGTCGATTACCTAATATTTACAGAAATTTGTAATAATTCTAGATCGTACTAAAGAAAACATGAACTATACCATTATGTCACGTATTTAACACCTCTGTAAAAATTTATGGTAAAATTTTGCATGTTAATTTTTAGACAGTCGGCCTTCAGCCGGCATCTCTCAGAAGGGCATCTCACAGTTGGCGGCGTTCCTCATTGGCGAAGAAAAATAAATATACATATATACTTCATCTAATTTAGATAACGACTTACGTCATTATCTACGTGAGAGATCGAAGTTGACATAGTTGCCAAAGTATAAAGAAATCCTGACTCCATTTTAAATCAAATAGGTCACATAATTATTGCAAAAGTATTACCATCTCTTTACAATGACCATTTAAATTCTTACGTGACATTTTTGAAATAAAATACACTAATTTTGTTCTAAAAAGAACAGATTATATTAAATAGGTAAAAATATAAAACAAGAGGTATTCACTTTAAAATTTAAAATAATAAAGTACAAAAAGTGTCAACACCGCAACTGTCAAATAAGCGTTACCAATTTATGCCAAAATTTTACCTTCGTTCGATTACAGTTACAGTGTGTTCCGAACAAATGTTCTTGATAAAAACTCTTTATAATGGATTTATACAAATTAAATGAAACATATTATTGTGTATTTCTTTAAGTTAACATTAATAGAAATTTTTAAATATTATTTCAACGCGTATATAATAAAATATGTCTAGTGGCTGTAATGCCAGTGTACTCGGTAAAGTGATTCTAAAAAGAACACACCTAAACCCTAAATATTTCGTGTTGGTATCATATGACGTCACAGGCTATGACGCCGATGACGTGCATCGTTATACAAATTAGATGAAGTGTATACAGCTCAACAGGCCCTAGAGAACGATAGCTTGAAATGTTTCCACTGTTTTCCCTCATTTTCTTCACGGCCGCAGTTCTCCAATTTGTTATCCCTATTGTTTGTATGTTTTGCTTACACGCTTCCAGCCCCTTTTTTTCATGGTCGCTCTCTTCTCTTCTTTCCTTCCCCTCTCAGTAGTGGAAATTATACAATTTCCATGTGGCAAACTTCATAAAAAAATTTATAGTCTACGCTAATTCCTGGTGGGTTTAAGCTAAATAATGACATTAAGTCATTGTATTTTGCATTGGAAATTGCTTTTCTCGAAGGGTATAACTTTTCTCCATTTGATTGAATATTATACCTAGTTCGTTTGTTGCAGTCTAATACTTTAAAATATTCTTTAAATTTTTCTTCACATAAAATTACACTGTGCCTATCCTTTTTAAATCGTAACCAACAAGACAATTTTTTGTCAGTTAATATTATTTTCATCATTTTTTTTTTTGCTTAATTAAAAGGGATTGTTGAGTTCTTTTCTCGTTTGACGATTTGTCAACTTCAAATTTCTTTCGCATTATTAATGTTCCTTTAGTAAACTGTTTCCAATTGAAGAAACTATTATGGCCCATGTCATGAACCACATACGGTTTATCACCTGTTTGTCTAGAATTTCTTGCTATAGTTTTGTAGACTTCTGACCATGAAAATTTTCCCACTCTTTTAATTTCGTGATTTATTGCAGTGTGAATGGAATCACATTCCATTTCTGAATGTCCTACCCCTAGGTATTTTATATCAATGATCTTAATGTGTTCAATATCTTGAACTGCTTTTAAACAGATTTTGAACTCCACACCGGTCGTCATAGAGAATTATCTGTTCGATGTGTTCGGGAAGCAGGGTAAAATATTTGTATAAACAACTGGCTACTTCGCAACTTTTTTTTTCGTCTTTATAGAGGGGGGGTCTGGAATCTTCAAAAGACATCTCAGTCCAGCACGCCGCCTGACTGACCTTAGTGCAGGATTCGTTCTTCGTACTCCCGGCGATAGTTCCAGAGGTACTTTAAAATGCCCTCTCGTCGCCGAGTCTACGCCGAACGCCTACCTGCTAAACCAGACCCTCCTCTGTCATCCAGCGATCCGGAAGCGGAATGGCCGCTGTAAAGCCGGCATCACTTCCGAAGCACTACCTTTATTCATTCATTCTCCATTCATACACATCCACACTCCTATTTCGGCATCATTCTCAGAAGGGCATTTTCTTCTTCCCCACAGTCAAACTCACGCATTCTAACTCAAAAAGTGTGACCCACTGTTCTAACTTCACCTTTCAGCATCATTCACTCTACCTTTGCCGTTGGTCCAGCTGTCTTTCTTCCTCTTCCTTTTTTTTTTTATCACTGCACGGATATAACTGTGTATGTTAATCCAACCTAATTTATTTTCAATCATTCTCTCAATTATTTCTCTCACTGTAACAAAATTCACACCTGTCTTTCTCTCCATTCTGTTCCTTTCCACTATCCATCTGCTGCAATCTAACATCGTATGTGTCACAGTGTCCGAGTATCCACAATATGGGCATTCATCTGTATCAGCCTTACCGATCCTATAAAGGTAGGCCCTAAAACACCCGTGTCCTGTGAGCACCTGCGTCAGGAAATAATCCAATCGCCTGTGGTCACAGTCCACCCAAACTCTTATGTTAGGGATCAGCATTTTCGTCCACTGTGCCACATCCTCCGTATTGTTCCATTCTTCTTGCCATCTTTCAACTGACCTTTCCCTTACCTGTCTTCTCTCAGCCACAGTAAGGTTTGGGCCTCTTCTCTCATAAAGCTCTTTTCTTTCCACCGCCAAAACATGCAACGGAATACATCCAGTGATAGTCCATAAGGCTGCCGCAGACACAGTTCTATAGGCGCATGCCACTCGCAACAGACTTGTTCTGTCTACTCGTTTCATAAGACTCCTATAGGCTGTTATCTCTACCGCCTCGCTCCAGACTGGTGCCGCGTAGAGGACGATAGACTGTACAACACCGTGTAAGACCCTCCTCCTTTCGGATTTAGGTCCTCCAATATTCGGCATCACTCTCCCCAACGCAGCCGCACTATTCGCAGCCTTTCGGACCACCTCCCGAAAGTGCTCCCCCCATTTTCCATTCTGGTGCAATGTCACTCCTAGATACTTTACTTTTTTTCGCAACTGGAACCTAGGAGTTAGGAAAGCGATTAGTGCTCGAAATCTGGACGAAGACCTAACTCAAGACAGAATACAGTGGTGTTTGGGAGTCGGACAACGTCGTAAGACGTTATAAAACCGAATATATATATATATATATATATATATATATATATATATATATATATATATATATATATATATATATATATATATATATATATATATTATATACTTCGCAACTTTCCCTAGCACCTTCAGCTTGATGCCACAAGAAAGAGTCAACCTGTTTGGACACCACATTGTAGATGGTAAAGTTGTATGTGGTGAGTCTGCGTTTATAAAACAAAGTATTTAAACTTATTTATATAGTTATATATAGTTATTTAAACTCTTTGTTTTTTTTTCTCATCCCTAGCACTATTTTTGGCTTCAATATGCACATCATATTTTTCTTTTAATTGTACGTTGTCCACATCCGATGCATTTGTAAAGTGCATACATATGGAGCACTGGTCTCTTTTAGGTGTGTAAAATCCTAAATTATAGTTTTTACTGAATATCTTTCGATACATGCATTCCTTAGCAGGAGTTTTTCCTTGTACCCTACATTGTTCTATGAACATTTTATACGTTGTAGTGATGTTCAGATGTGGTGCTAAATATTTTCTCGTTGTTCGTTCCCGACAATAGTGGGTTGGTACAACTGGAGAACTTTCTATGTGTTTTCTGATATCATCGACTATATCTTGCGGTGTACATTTTTTAGTATTGTTTTCTCGAAAATCCGCTGACCCCATATTCATTTTACTTCTCTTTGTAACAGCAATGTCGACTACTCCCTTCTTTATAGCAAGTGTATTAATAAAAAATGTTTTACAAACCTTTTTTCTCATATTATTAACTGGCAAATAAAATGTGGTAAATCTAAAGGTAGAATTACGGTCTAGTTAATGTTTTTTTTTATTCTTACCAGTCACTTCTCTAGTTTTGGATCAACAAGCAGATATTTTTACACCAATATATTTTTCTAAAAGTAGATAACTACAGTTATCTATAAATGTTTTCGTTTAGCGTTACTGCTAAATAGTGGATATCTGTACATATCAAGTTGTAGTTTTCAAGGAATGGCTCATATAACAGATACCTACTTTCAAACAAAATTTTATGTTATACCTAATGAAGTAGGGACAATATCAGATATCTACTTATAGCATTTGATACATTATAGTAAGGCCGATGTCTTAAAGTGGATATCTCAGAATCGCAAAAAATTCGAGTTACCTAGTTATAGAATTAAGGTATCGATATGAACCCGAAGAGGTTGTAATGTATTTTTAAAAATTATTTTTTATAATAAATCAAAACTGAATATTTTTTATGGTAAATCATTGTAAAACTGTCAAACAGTATTCCTTTTTTACATTTTCTAGATAATAATAAAAAATACATAATTAAGTTCCATGAAAATGTTATGAGGATGATGAGGATTCCTCGTAACATTCAAGTATCTTGGTTTGTTTCTTTCTAGTGCATCTCGATTGTGATTTTAGTATAGTATTATTTAAACGATATCAATAACATTAGAAATGGTTCAAAAATAATGGTTCCCAGGCTTAGCAGGTTGGGAAGTTTTAAAAAATTTAACCGCCAAATAAGAAGTTTTGTCGGCGAGGTCTTTAAGTCCTCGTTCCTTCAAATAGGAAGTTATTTAAAAATTCTTTAAGTAATACGGGTAACATGTTAATGCTATATTTTAATAAATAAATCTTATAAATCTTAAATTAATTTTAGCAACCCATCCATTGTTCGATGGTTAACTGAGATCTTAAATCAGTACAATAGGACAGCTATACCACCAGGTAACCTTCCATTAGATCCGAGAGGAAATCCTAAATACTGGAGTTATGTTTGGACAAATTTTGGAGATTATATTGATATTTCTATATAAGTTATGTATACAAATAATAAAGTAGTTGTTACAAAAATAATAGTTTCTTATTTTAATTTTAATGTAATTTACGAACTTGATAGCATCTACATATTGTAACTATTGTACCGCCAGGAATGGCGCTTGGAGGGGTCAATAGTTAACAGTGTTTTTCGGTCCTACAAAATTTACAATTTACGGTGGGATTTACGAATAAGGTTTAGTTAAGTTATAGTGCAATGTATTTCTGTTTATTAAATAATAGAGTATGGCCCCTTAGAGGGGCCATTCCTGGCGTTACAATAGTTAACAGTGTTTTTGTTCGGTTCTACAAAATTTACAATTTACGGTGGAATTTACGAATATGGTTTATAGTCGGACAATTTTCAATTAAAGGTGACTAATCTACAAATCGAACTAAACGGTAGCGGCAACCATGAAAAATTTCATTAGTAAATTCTTACCGGGGTCATTTTTATTGTGTATGCTTCGCCCATGTAAATATGTAAATTTGTAACCCATCTAAGATAAATATGCCCCCGTAACAGTATAAATTGGTGCGATTCACGAGTGTATAGTGAGACAAGTTCATATAATAGTTTGGAACATCGGTAAAATTATCAATATTTTGCTGGTCTATATATATTTACGTTTTTAGAAAGAATGTTAATTAGAGAAATATGATATCTTAGTTTATTGAAGTTTATGAAATATGATATCTTTCAGATTTTATATATATGTACATATTGTACATAGGCGTAGTGTATTATTGGGAATATATTTATTAAATATACTTTATTATTAGCTTTAAAATAGTTTTGAGGTAAGTAAAGTAAATTTGAGGCCAGCTTATTCTTTATATAGTATTAAACCCTTAACGGCCGCTCAATATACAAAGAGAAATTTGACAATTAATTTATTAGATTTGATTAAAAACACAAATTAGGAATAAATTACAACCAAAAAGATTTTTTTTTCTCATTTTTAAGGAAAACAGTACAATTTTTAATAAAGGAACATATTGTATCTTAAACGTAAATTAAATTTTAAGGTAAAAATTTTCGAAATATTCGGGGTGTAGATGCATTCTACACTTTTTACATAAATAAATAGTATTACTTTTGTACATCCTACATTTTTGCACTATCGTCTCTTTTTATAATGTGGCCAATATTGTCGAATCTGGTTTCATCTGGTAAAGCAAATTTAGATTGACGCCCATGTACTGACACTGATGTAGCGGTTTCTTCACTATTATAAATTAAAATTATAAATCTATGTCGGCTCATGCTTTCTCTTATAATATGCACTTCTTTATCCTCATCCTTTGACCAATGCATATCAACTTGAAGCAGAGTGTAAACCAGATAATATACATATGCTAATATTTTTTTTTATCTGTTATTCATTTCAAAATTGTGACGGTTATTCTGGGATGCATAAATATTTGTAAAATATAGAATGCTCTCAATTACTTTTTTATCAAAAAGAGTGAAAAAACTTTAATATATGTCTTGCCTACATGGTTGGCTTTTATATTGTCTAAATATCAATCAGACTGATGTTGAATTACTACTGAGCACGAAAGAATATCCGTTATTATAACTTGAGATAAATTTAGATTTACTATTTTTGCCCAATTTTTACTTATTGGTTTTTTCTTTGGACGTTTTATCTGTGGTTCAGAGGAATATCATAATCAGAATCGTTAGAATTCCCAATCACTTGTATTTCATATGCACCTGCAATATCCGATTTTATTGATTCTTCACAAATAATATTATCATCAATCTCTTCAAGGAATACAATAATATACCAGCAAACGAATGGGAAAGATACCTGACGGAACTGTTTAAAGCAAAGGAAAATAATAATCAACACAATAACGTACCTGAACTAAGAGACGAAATAGAAATCAGTTTTCACGAAGTAGAAATAGTCATAAATTCACTCAAAAATAGAAAGTCACCAGTACCAGACGGAATAACCAACGAGATTCTAAAATACGGATGAGAAAGTTTAACCCTAGAGATGACAAAACTTATACAAAAATTAATATTGCACTGCAATATACCAGACGCATGGAGAAACAGCATAATGATACCAATGGTCAAGAAAGGAGATAAAGAAGACCCCAAAAATTATAGAGGTATAAATCTACTGAACACCGCACTTAAGCTTACCACAAAAGTCCTATCCAACAAAATCAATAAACTAACAACTTTATCAGATGAACAACAAGGATTCAGATCCGAATGATCCTGCGTAGACGCCGTATTTGTACTAAGACAAATCACAGAAAAGGTCATCATATCTATATTTTATAGACCTGACAAAGGCTTTCGATCGCATCCAAGTCGAAGACGTCTTACACCTACTGTATAAAAGGAACATACCAATCAATATTATACAAACCATCGAAAGCATTTACCTCCATAATCGAATACAAGCAAAGATAAATGGAAAACTAACACAGTATATACCAGTACAAAGCGGAGTCAGACAGGGTGACTCGTTAAGCCCACTTCTCTTTAATATATTAATGGACGAAATAATACAAGCAGTACGTAAAAGTCATGGCTACAGAATTGGGAACAAAGAAATCCAAATTTTATGTTATGCAGACGACGCCGCATTAATCGCCGAGACAGAAGACGAGCTCTAAAGATTAACACATATCTTCAATACAACAGCTAAGAAATATAATATGATAATATCAGCGGAAAAATACAAATGTATGACATTTAAATACCCACTACGGTGTAAAATCGAAATTGATGGGAAAATAATAAAGCCGGAAGCAAGGGTAAGATATCTGGGAATAGATATAACTAGTTACGGAGATGTTAAAGAAAAAGTACGACAGCAAAGCTTAAAAGCAAGTAAAGCGGCGGGTTCTCTTAATGACACAATCTGGAAGAACAAACACCTAAGACAAGACACAAAAACAAGAGTCTATAAAGCAGGAATTAGACCTATATTAACATACACGACTGAGACAAGACCTGACACATCTAAAACGAGACGACTGCTAGAAACAACAGAGATGAAAATACTCCGACGAATATCAAGGAGAAGTCTGTTGGATAAGGAGAGAAGCAAAAACATAAGAAGAGCATGCAATATAGAAGACATAAATGGATGGGTGACAAAACGAAAACAAAAGTGGAACAAACACATAAGTAGAATGGCGGAGGATAGAATAATACGAATAGCACGATATAAGTCACCAAATGGACGAAGAATTGTATTGGCAGACCAAGAAAAAGATGGTGCGACAATTTAAACAATTTAGGAAGCTAATATTGAAGAACAAACAGGCTTTAAAGCCTACAAACTAGAAGGAAGAAGAAGATCAATGTCTTCTACATCAGAAACTTTCTAATCTAATCTTGGCGGCAAATAAACCACATTAAGTGGCATTTTCACAATCTGAGTCTTCTTCTAACAAAGCTATTAACTCTTTAGTAGTTAGTGCCATCTTCATTTCATATTTCGAGAATTTACTGAAATAAACAAATGCACTGCTATATAAACGCATTCATATGATAATAGTTTAGCTTACCTCATTTTAATTTATATGAACTTTCACGGGCGCCGACTCCATAAGGCCTGGGTGGGCTCAAGCCCCCTCAAAAATAATTTAGGGGGGGCGTAGCCCCCCCTAAATTTCGAAGGAGTAAAGAGTATATAAAGCATCGGAAACAGATTTTTGATTGCCGCAGAATGTGCTGAAAAGAACAATCTCATGGAAATGAACGAGAGAATTAACCTCCGCCAATGTAAGTTCGCGATAATTCGGAATACTGAAGTTCTGTTAAGTTGTCATCCATTTTATTTTAATGACATTGACATTTAATACTTCAGAAATTTGCATTTCAGTATTTCTTTAATTTACTTTAAATAAACCTAATTCACATCATATTAATCTTTCTATTAATTTAAATCCTTAGAAGGTAATTAAATACATGTACTAAGGTTTTAAATGCCTATTCATGTAATTTTAAACCATATTTACTTTATTATCAAATTGGACATGATGATATAAGCAGAATGATATTGGCAAACTTAGTTTATTAGTAAATGTGTTCTAACACGTGTTTGCAAGTAATTAATACTTAGTAAAAGCATTATAAAAATAAAAACCGCAACTTGTAGCTCTACCTGTCGCCACTCCACCAGTTAGCAAGTTATAAATAGATTGCCTACGTGACTTTTTCCAAGGTCACTGCGTTGAAGTTGTGGCCGCCTGGCTGGCCGTGGAGTGGTGGGAGGAGGGATGAGTTACAGACACCCCTAGCGCGCTCTTTGTAAACAAAACAAACGTACTGTCTACCGCCTCGGTTGTCTTGTCGGCTCTGGCTCTTGCAATCAGTTCCGTTGTTCCGTTTGCACGGTCACAAGCAGTTAGTTTACGTCGTGTTTCTATATGTTGATGTGAATGATGTGATTGATAGTAAGCAGTGAGTAGTGTTTGAGTGTGAATTATTGTAAAGTGATACAATATGGATAAGTTTGTATTTAAAAAGGCGCGTGTTGATAGGATCACAACTCCACTCCCAGCACTAGAATCATCTGTTCCGGTATCTGGAACGTCTGCCAGCAGTAACAGCTTAAATTTGAGCAGCAGCAGCAACCATAATATCATCGGTAAGGGTAAGGGAAGATCCTTTCAAAAGTCATGGTTAACCAAATATTCTTGGTTAGAATATGAAAAACAAACTGACAAAGCATTTTGTAAAGTTTGCAAAGAGGCAGAAGCGAAAGGCCTTATAAAGTTTACTTTAAAGAAAGAAGATGCGTTTACTTCTGCCGGCTTTTCAAACTGGAAAAGGGCCTTGGAAAAATTTCGCACTCATGAAACTACAAATGTCCACAAGGAAGGTATTCTTAAATTGTCAACTGCTTCAAACTCAACCGTAGCTGCCCAGTTAAATGAACATGCACATGAATAATGATATGAAAAAAGCCCGTTTAGCGTTAACTGCTATTTTCACAACTTTAAAATTCCTATGCCGACAAGGTCTAGCAATTAGAGGACATGAGGATATAA